TTCCAACAAGCGGACCTGACCTAGGGAGGATTTTATATGGGGTTTATTTTTTAGCAATTTGATAGAGACACAACTTTAAAATTTGATTTAATTCGGTTTTATCGGGGGGGGAATGTATTTATGTTTTGTTTTAAATATGTTGTGCGCCGCCCTGAGTCCCGTTGGGAGAAGGGCGGCATATAAATTAAAATAATAATAAAATAATAATAATAATCTATATTTGCAGCTACTTCCAATGCTAGCATCACCACCTCAGGGATGAGAAACGATGGCCCCTTTATGACTGTCAACTTCAACTCCCAGAATTCCTGAGCCTGCTGGCTCAGGGATAGAATAGAATAGAATAGAATAGAATAGAATAGAATAGAATAGAATAGAATAGAATAGAATAGAATAACAGAGTTGGACGGGACCTTGGAGGTCTTCTAGTCCAACTCCCTGCTCAGGTGTCAATCCAGAATGAGGCAGGAATCACGACGACCAGAAAACACACAGCTGGAAAACAAAAAAGTTGTTCCCAGCAATGGAACATTGCTATTCTATTCTATTCTATTCTATTCTATTCTATTCTATTCTATTCTATTCTATTCTATTCCATATTTTATTCTATTCCATTCCGTTCCGTTCCATTCCATTCCATTCCATTCCATTCTATTCTATTCTATTCTATTCTATTCTATTCTATTCTATTCTATTCCATATTCTATTCCATATTCTATTCTATTCCATTCCATTCCATTCCATATTCTATTCCATATTCTATTCCAGTGGTGGCGAACCTATGGCACGGGTGCCAGAGGTGGCACTCAGAGCCCTCTCTGTGGGCACGCACGCCATCGCCCCAGCCCCGCCACACCCCCATGGCCCCCTCCTCACCAGCAGCCCCCCCAGAGGAGAGTCACCCCGGGCGCAGCCTGTGCAGAGCAGCACAGCCAAGGACATGGCAGCCGGGCAGTGGGGACAAGACTCCACCCTCGCGCCTCATCGCGTACAGACGATGCTGCAGGGCGCAGACAGAGGGCATGGCCGCCATGATGCTATTGGGCCGCCTGGGCGATCTGCTGTGGCAGGTTGTGGAGGTGGTGGGTGGCCCTGCGGGCAGATGTGGGGATGGACAGGGGCGAGGCGGGTTTTGGGCACTCAGTT